CAGGGATTAAACCCAGGTCTCCTGCGATATAATTGCAGGCAGATTCTTAACCAGCTGAGCCACAAGAGAAGCCCATGCTACAGCAAAGACTGAAGATCCCAAGTGCTGCAATGAAGATCTAGTGCAGCCAAACAAGCATAGAAATAAATAGAAATAAATATTTAAAAAATGATGAACTGTACTTGAAAACTGAGTGACCTTTTATAACAATTTTGAGAAATAAAATTCATCCTTTTAAAATGTATAATTCATTGGTTTTTAGTATTAATATATTCACAGAGTTGGTCAACCATCACCATTATATAATTTCGGAACAATTTTCATCATCACAAAAAGAAACCCATTAGCCAATCACCATTCCTCCCTCCCTTGGTCCCTGGAACCACTAATCTACTTTCTGTCCCTATGGATTTTCCTCTTCTGGACATTTCATACAAATGGAATCATTCAATTTGCGACCTTTTGTGTCTGCTCCTTTCATTCAGCATGTTTTCACGGTTCATTCATGTTGTAGCATGTATGAGTACTTGATTTCTTTTTATGGCTGAATAGCCCATTTTATAGATATACTACATTTTATCTGAAGAGTTTTTAGCATTTTCGTTTGCTTGCTTCTCTGTTTTGTTCTTATCTTTGGGATTTCAACTAGGCAACAACACATACAGAAAAAAGGTTGCAAGGCCGTACACAGTGGCTTCCATGGCTAGAAAAATGATTTGTTTTCCTCTAAATTTTCTTTTCTTTCTTTCCTTAAGTATAGTTGATTTAAAATGTTTTGTTAGTTACTGTTGTTGAGCAAAGTGATTCAGTTATTACATATGTATTCTTTTTGTATATTATTTTCTATTATGGTTTCTCACAGGCTATTGAACATGGTTCCCTATACAGTAGGACCTTGTTGCTTATCTACTTTGTATATAGTAGAGTGGATATGTTGTTTATCTACTTTAAATATAGTAGAATGGATATGTTGCTCCCAAATTCCTAACTTATTCTCCCCACCTTTCGCCTTTGGTAACCATAAGGTAACTTCACTGCACACCCTGCCATCTGCGAAGAGGTCTGCAAAGGGTTGGGCAGGTGGAAAGAAATCCCCTGGAGAAGCAAGGGAAAGAAGCAGGGGGAGGAGGGGATGTGGAGTTCAGGAATGTGATTTCCAAAACAAGAAATCCTCCCCAGCTTGCAGGAAGGATCTCTGAGCAGGGGGAAAGGACCTCTAAGGGACTGTCCCACTCAACCTGCTCCTGCAGTACTCAGACTGGAGACACTCTAGGCTTTATCATCACACTCTAGGCTTTATCATCCCCCTTAGCCCAACATCAAGGCCTTGGAGAGAACTGACATCTTTATAATATCAAGTCTTTCTCTGTAAGTACATTGTGTATCTTTTCATTAATTTAGAACATATTCCAGTAGGTTTTTATCATTTTCTCCACAAAGGGTTTGCACTTCTATTGTTAAATTTATTCCTAAGTACTTTGTATTTTTGTTACTATTGCAAATGGTATATTTTTAATTAAAATCTTTATTGCAACATAACATGAAGTGCAAAGTCAAGTGCAGAGCTTGACTTTTATATATGTATATAGTCATGTAACCAAACAGTATATTTTAAAAGTTACACTTTCTGATGGTTACTGATGAGAAATGCAAAAGTTTTATATATATATTTTTTCTGTATTTATTTTGAACTATAAATCTTGCTAAACTCACTTGCCAATTCTACATGAATTTTCTTTTGGAGTTGTTACACACATATTTCATCTGCAAATACTGACGGTCTTGTTTCTTTCCAATCCCTATATATTTGCTGTCACTATTTATTGGACTAGCTAAAACTTTCATTATTGTATTGACTAGGATTGTTGAGAGCAGGTTTCTTTGCCTTTTTTCTCATCTTAAAAAGGAAGGCTTTCAACACTTTATTATCATGATGTGTGCTGTTGGATTTTTGAAGATGTCCTTTATCAGGTTATAGTTTTTTCTTCAGTATCAATGGATGTTGAATATTTTGAGCAGTCTTTCTGCATCAGTTAAGATAAGTAAACTTTTTCCTCCTTAATGTCCATATTTCTCCTACTCTAACATTTTGCTTTTTAACTTTGATAAATATCTTTTGATATACATATCTTCTCAGCTTTCCCTTCTCAGTCCTCTTTACCCATCCAGTAAGCATTGGTCTTCTCTGGTTTCCTTCGTCACTGCTCACTCTTCAAGCTCCTTCTCCTTGTAGGTTTCCTAGGATTTCAAAGGTTGGGGGATGATGACAGGGTTTTTAGATACTGGGCTTCCCCACAGTCTGCTCCACTCCACAAGCACAAGTTTGAATTCAGGTTAAAGCACTGAATTAGAAGATAGGTGGCTTGAATTCCAGACAATTCCAATTGTCTCCAATTGCCTTTTCATACTGTCCATGGGGTTCTCAAGGCAAGAACAGTTAGAACTGGACATGGAACAACAGACTAGTTCCAAATGGGGAAAAGAGTACATCAAGGCTGTATATTGTCACCTTGCTTATTTAACTTATATGCAGAGTACATCATGTGAAATGCTGGACTGGAGGAAGCACAAGCTGGAATCAAGATTGCTGGGAGAAATATCAATTACCTCAGATATGCAGATGACACCACACTTAGGGCAGAAAGTGAAGAAGAACTAAAGGGCCTCTTGATGAAAGTGAAAGAGAAGAGTGAAAAAGCTGGCTTAAAACTCAACATTCAGAAAACTAAGATCATGGCATCTGGTCCCATCACTTGATAGAAAATAGATGGGGGAGAAATGGAAACAGCGAGAGACTTTANACTGCAGATGGTGACTGCAGCCATGAAATTAAAAGACGCTTACTCCTTGGAAGAAAAGTTATGACCAACCTAGACAGCATATTAAGAAGCAGAGACATTATTTGCCAGCAAATATCTGTCTAGTCAAAGCTATGGTTTTTCCAGTAGTCATGTATGGATGTGAGAGTTGGACCATAAAGAAAGCTGAGCACTGAAGAACTGATGCTTTTGAACTGTGGGGCTGGAGAAGATTCTTGAGGAGAGTCCTTTGGACTGCAAGGAGATCCAACCAGCCCATCCTAAAGGAAATCAGTCCTGAATATTCATTGCAAGGACTGATGCTGAAGCTGAAACTCCAATACTTTGGCCACCTGATGCGAAGAACTGACTTATTGAAAAAGACCCTGATGCTGGGAAAGATTGAAGGCAAGAGGAGAAGGGGACAACAGAGAATGAGATGGTTGGATGGCATCACCCACTAGATGGACATGAGTTTGAGTAAGCTCCCGGAGTTGGTGATGGACAGGGAAGCCGGGGGTGCTGCAGTCCATGGTGTTGCAGGGTCAGACACAACTGGGCGACTGAAGTGAACTGTGTCTTCAATTATGCACCAAGACAAATCCCTTAGGAATCTGCTTTCAGTCTGGTAAATAAAATCCCTGCCCTGCCTACCCGCAGGATTGGTTGGTAACTAGGGGGCAGTAGAAACACGCTGCAAATATTCACAGGTCAGGGGTTGTTGCTGTTACTAATACTAGAAGTATTGTGAGATAACCGATATACCTTGCATTTTGAAGCTAGTGGAATTTAGATCCAATCACACTTCAGATCAGCAGTGTGGTTCGTTACTTCTGCACTTGTTAACTTCACCTTTCTGAACCTGTCTCCTTTTTCTGGCTTGCAGATAAGAAATGGAAAGCACTTGACACATATTAAGAGCCCAGTAAATGGAGCGATTTATCTGAAAAGCATTAAAAATATTTCATAAACGGAAGCAGTAAATCCTCCGTGGGTTCTAGCCTCGGAAACAGTCAAGTCAGTTGTCCAGCACCAGTAACAGCGCCCAGGTACACACAGGAGGTAAGGCAAGGAAGGTGACCGCAGAGAAAAACGCTCCTCCTCTGTACCTCGAATCCCCACCGTCGGGCTTCCATGGAGAGGCCAGCTGTACTCAAGGTCCTTAAATGTGGTGAGAAACGCCAAAGTGACTGGGGAAATGAGCCGAATAATTCACTCCGACAACAGCAAGCGGGATCCAGCTTCGGGGATCAGTCCTCAGCGGCGCGGGGACGTCGCGCAACAGCCGCAACCCCACAGGTCCAGTTTGGGGCTCACGAACGCGTTGCCTACTGCCGCCGCCGCTAGGAGGCGCTCGTCCGGCTCCGCGGCCCGCACAGGTCCTTCTGCGCAGGCGCGCCTCCTCTTCGCTGGCGTCCCCGCCCCGACACAAGTTACGCTCGGGCGGCGCGTTCCCGGCCATTTCTGACGCTGCGAGCGGCGGCCGGGAGCCGAGCGGAAGCACCGCGCGCCTCCCGCTGAAGGAGGGGTGGGGTGAGGAAAGAAGTGGTGCCGGAAGTGGGGCTCAGTCGCCTGCAAGGCGGGCGGGGGGAGCAGGAAGGAGGCGGTGGCGGCTGGGCGGGGTGTGGCCTCGGGAGGCGGCGGGCGCTGCGATTGGCCCTGGATTGTGGCGACGGCGACGATTGGCCCCTGTGGGCCGAGCAAGGTGAGCCCGGGTGGCGGCCGTTGAAATTCAAAAGTGGCGGGTGTGGCAGCGCAGGGGCCCGGAGCGCACGTACCCTGTGTCGCGAGCGCGCGAGAGAACGCGGGTCCCGGGAGCCCCGGCTCGGTGTCGTCTTCAGTGCGCTTGCTCGGCGTGAGTGACCCCGAGCCGGACATGGAGCCGCAGGTGAGTGGCGGGCGGCGCGGGAACGACAGCCGGCTGCCGCATCCTTCAGCGCTGACCGGTCGGAGGCCTCGGTCCGGACGGCGGGGCCCAGATCCGCGTGCCCCGCTCCGTGGGACGGATCCGGAGTGGAGAGCGGAGAAGGCAGGGAGCGGCCCCGGAGGGCGGGGCACGTCGGCTTGCCTTCTCGCAGCTTCAGGGAGCCCCCGCACCCTTCCTCACTTTCGTGTATCCAGGATTTCCCGTTTCGAATCTTCAGGCTTGTCTGAACACGTTCCCTCCCGTCCATTCAGTGTGAGTTCCGAGATGGCCTCTAGCCCTGGGGAAACGGTGACTGAAGCCGAATCCCTGCCAGTGCCTTTTCGTGTCCTCTCTCTCCTCTTTGCAGCCGCTTGCGGGCATCGGAAGGGAAGAGGGTGGAGTACTCTGAACTGAAGGACTTTGCATTATCTCTCCTTCCCTGGTTTTGCAGAGATCTCTGCTCAATGGGACTGGTTTACTTAATGTCTCCTCTCATCAGTGCCCTGCGGCACCCCACGACCAGCCTCCTCCTCCTCCGTCCAGCGGAGAGAAGTGTGTTTGTGACAGTGAGAGTGGGTTTACTTCTGGTGCCAGAAAAGGGCTCCTGCCAGAATCCTCTGTTTACTTCTGTTTGGCATTCAGATTTACCCAAAGTCAAGTTGCTACAAAGAGATAGTTTTTGTATCCTGCCAGCCAGAGAGTGGAGCAGTGTGTTGTGACAATGAAAAAGAATAGAAGCCTTCTCATGTTTATTCATCCCATATTTACCAGGCATCTACGATGTGCTTGGGATGCAGCAGAGATCCCTGTCGTCATGGAGCTGCCATTCTTTGGGGAGACAGGCAATATGTGATAAGTAAATTGTCTAACGCTGTTAATGTTTTAAGGGCTGTTGAGAAAAGGGAAAAGTTTGAGCAGATTAAGAGGGGAAGAGGGGAGGCCAGCTGGCAAGATAGACAATTAAATTGGGTGGTCTTAGTAAGCTCCCAGTGCAGAAGGTGAGAGGTGAATAAAGACTTGGAGGAAGTGAGGGAAACAGGTAAGGGGTTATTAAGATCATTCCAGGCAGAGGGAATCCCGTAGTGCAAAATCTCTAGAGTTGTATAGCAAAGCCGGATTGGAATGAGCAAGAGGGAATGTTGTGGTAAGGGAAGTCGGGTAACGGACTTCTTGCACAGGCCACCGTGAAGACTTTGGTTTTTTTCTCTGAGTGAAATGGGGAATCACTGGATGGTTTTAAGCAAAGAGAGACATTTTAAGAGGACCATTCTAGCAGCTGCATTGAGATTAGCCTGTAAAGGAGCAAGGATAGAAACAAGGAGAGCTGTTAGGAATGTGGCGGGTTTTCTCAGCTTTCAACATTATTGACATTTCATTGGGGGTGGAGGGCTGTCCTGTACATTGGCTGATGTTTAGCAGCATTCCTGGCTTCTATCCATTGGGTGACAGTAGCAACCCCCACCTGACCATGCCAGTCAGAGTGTCTCCAGACACTGTCACACATCTCCTGGGGGTAAAGTCATCCCTAGCTGAGAACCAGTGGCGTGTGATAATCCAGGTGAGAGATGATGGCGATTTGAGTCATGGGAGCAGCAGGGGAAGTGGTAACAAGTGGTCTGATTCTGTATCTATTTGGAAGATAGAGTTGGCTACATTTGCTGACATTAGACTGTGGTATATAAGAGAATGAGAGGACTCCAGATGTATTTGCTTGAGCAGCTGAAAGGGGGAGTCATATCAACTGAGATGGAGGAAGCTGCAGGGTCGAGAGGATTACACGTCAGGCGGTCAGAGTTTGGCATGTTTACTAGGATTCCAAGTGGTGACATTGAGAAGGCAGTTCCATATGACTTCAGAGTCAAAGTCTGAGCTGGAGATATAAGCTTGGGAGTTGGCAGCATATGAGTGGTGTGCAAAGCCATAGGAGTGGCCCAGAACAGAGAGGTTAGAAAGACCACTGTTAAAATTTGGGGAGATGAAGAGGATCTACCAGAGAGGTAGGAAAACCAGGAGAAGATGGTCTCCCGGGAGCTAAGTGAAAAGAGTGTATTTAGGAAGAGGGAGTGATCAACACAGGGTGACTTATGGCCTTGAGAGCAGTTTTGGTGGAATGGTGAGAGTGAAAGCCTGATTGGGTTTAGGAGAGAAAGACTCTTTGGGTTGGAAGCAATAACAGTGTGTGTTGTATACTGACTGGAAGGATCCAGGAGAAAGGGGAAGTGATGGTGCAGAGAAGGAAGGATTGCCTGGGTGCTGTTCTTAAGTGGGTGAGGAGTGGGAGCAGATGTGCACGTGGATGACTTAGCAGCAGGGCGTCCATCTCTGAACCTGGGAAGTGGTATAGGAGGGGTTCAATGAAAATCTGCTTTTATATTATGGAAGCTGATATTATGGAAGGAGTGGAAAGTTGGGAGTTGTCCTGTCCAGCTTTATAGATGGGAGAAAATTAAATACTGTGCTCTTTGGAGTTGTCCTGAGTAAACAAACCTTGGAACACTTTTTCTAAACCCACACAAATTCCAAGGAGGTAAGTCTTTAGATAACCCACTATCTTAGCATAGGGAGAACAATAGGCATTTCTGATTAAGAAATTTAATGTTTGACCTTGAAATACTGAAAAAAAATTTACTTTTCATACTACATTTAATTAAAAATTAAAATCAGTATTCTTTGTGCAAAATTCTGCAAGTGGCAGGAAAAAGAGAATGCAGCCTCTTTTTTTTTTCCTTTTTATTTGTATATGAGCCAGTAATTTGAACATATCACAGTTAAGTATATCCCTGCTGGTGGATGGGCTTCCCTCATAGCTCAGTTGGTAAGAATCAATAAACTAAAAATTTTTAAAAAACCCAAAAACAAAGGATATCAGATTGTTTCAGAGTTTTCTCTGTGAGCATCCCTGAATCTCTTTGTATCACAAGTATTTCAACCTTACTTTCCTAAAGTTAAACTTAGCATCTCTTAAAAATTAGCTTTCAGGTACTCTCAGATCTCTCCATGTTACTTCTCACAACTGCATGTGAATCAACAATATTTAACAACAAGAAGTTTAACTGAAAAACAAACACAGCTTTTCCTCCTGTGATCTTGAGAAGCAGGGCAGGCTTCTTGGCATCAGCCAGACTCGGTCCCCTTCGCTGCCTGCCCTCTGCTCCCCCACCCTGTGCTACCTCTGCTTAGCCCGGAGACTTAGAATATCCCCTCTCAACCGAGTTCCTGGGGAATTAAGCTCTAATGCCCTAAGGCATCCTTTGCATCTAATGTATTAACTTCTCTCTTGAGCAGTTAGAATGGTGAGAGCTGTTTACATTCTTGGGAGAATTGAGAAGACAGTTCATTTTCTGTAGAGCTTTCTCTTGTACCCATTTGGAAAGGCTGCCCTGGAAAGTATGCTCTGGGCAGGCAGGGACTTTACATCTGTTACTCTTGCCCCAGGGCCTAGAACAGCATCTGGTCCGGAGCATCATTCAACAAACCTAGTGGGACAGACCCATGATAAATGGATGGATGAGGGAATGATGCCATCCCTCTGCTGTGATAACCCTCACCTTCTATTTCCATTCATTCTTTGCACTGGACGTGGTTCACTTAAAAAAACTTTAAAAATATGCCTTAGTTTATCTTTTTTTGTATAATTTTGTTTGTTTATTTTTGGCTGTGTTGGGTCTTTGTTGCTGCTCGGGTTTTTCTCTAGTGGTGTATGGGGGCCACACTCTAGTTGCTGTGTGGGCTTTTATTGTGGTGGCTTCTCTTGTGGAGCTCAGCCTCTAGAGCACAGGCTCAATAGCCGTGGCTTACGGGCTCCATTGCTCCGCAGCATATGAGAGCCTGCCAGACCAGGGATTGAGCCTGTGTCCCCTACACTGGCAGGCGGGCTCTTTACTACTGAGCCACTAGTGGTAACCTAAACCTTTTTAATTTTTTTATTCTGTGGCTGCACTGTGCAGTATGCAGCATCATAGTTCCCTAACCAGGGATCGAACCTGAGCCCCCTGCAGTGGAAGCATGGAGTCTTAACCACTGGACCACCAGGGAAGTCCACAGTTCACTTGTTCAGTACAAATTGAGTCATATTCTTCTCCTGACTTAACGACGTCAGAGGCCTCTTGCTTTCAGTAGATCCAGACTCCATGCTGGCGTCCCGGCTGCCGCGGTCTTTGCCTCTGCCTCTGCCCTCCTCCCCACTCTGCACATCCCTGTGTTCAGCTGAAAAGAATAACTGTCATTCCTTGCACATCCCTCCCCTTGCTTTCTGCCTGGAATGTTCCTCCTCGGCCCAAGCCCATCAAGCCAGCTCTTTCTCATCCTCAAGGCTCAGCCTGAAAATACTTTGTAGAATTGTGTCTTCCGCTCTCCCCATCTAAACTGGATGCCCACTCCCTTCTTGGGGATCCTTTCCTGATCACACTCAGTAAGATTTAATCATCTCTTTACGTTTTACTTGCCTACCGTCCTGTGGCCATTCTGAGGACAGGGACCACGCCTGTTACTCCAAAATCCAGATCATTTCCTGGCATGTAATAGGCATCTGGTAAATACTGAATGAAGTAAACTGAAGGCCAGAGAGAAACCAGCCTTGGAATTAGTAGTTACCCATAGTGAAAATCAGAAATTAATCTATCCGTGGTGCTTTACTGAGGGGGACAGGAGAAGGGTGACCATGTGTCCTGGCTTGCATAGGAGTGACCTGGTTTTAGCATTGAGAATCCTGTGTCCCAAGAAACCCCTTAGTCCTTGGCACACCAGGATGGTTGGTCCCCCGAGGCAGGAGTAAGCAGAGGTTGGGCGTGATCCCCAGACCCTGAGCTGGGCTGCTCGGAGGAGAGGCTCTTCCTTTCCCTTACCCCCACTGCACACCTGTCCTTGGTGCTGTCCACTGATCATGCTGCTACTCTTATCTTCCCCTTGCCAGTCCACCTACTCCCACCTCATCATTATTATATATATAGCCTCTTTCGTATACTGTTTCACATGCCTGATCAGAAACTGTATCTGGCTCTCCATGCATGCAGGGCCCAAACCTAAACTCCTTAGCGCGGCATCAATGCCCTGTGAGACAGTGTGGTCCAGTGGTTAAAAACACAGCCTCCAGAACCAGACTGTCTAGCTTCTAACCCCAGCTCTTCCTTTTATTCATCAATGACCTTAGCCCAGCTCTGTTACTTCCCAGCCGCCTTCCTTCCCTCATCTGCAAGGTGGGCTAATAGTAGCACTTCCTGTGTGGGCTGCTGTGAGGTTTAAGTCAGCTGATTCAGATAAAACATTTGAAACTGTTCGTAATAAATGTTACCTACTCTTCCCAGCCAGCCTTCAGCCTGGTCTCTTTTCTAAGTCACTCCCTTGTTTATGATTCTCAGCTCTCACTAAAAGAGTTCATCGGTTTCTCAGCCATGCCATGTGCAGGCCACGCTTTTGCCTTCCAGAAGGAGGGCATCTTCTCTGCTGGTTTAGGTCCCCCCATTAATGTTCGCTGGAGTCCAGCATGTGTCTTTCCGTCCTGTCCCTTAGAGACCGAGTCATGCCCCACCTCCCTCCATGGTTTTTGGCTGGCACCTCATCTGAGAGCCCCAGGGTGTGGCCCCAGGGGTACTGAGTTGATGCTTGTTGGAGATGGTGTTGAGAATCAGGCTCGGGGCCATAAAGGGGAGCTTCTGGGACATTTGGGCCTCAGGGCGTGTTCTGAAAGGCCTCTCTCTTTCCAGCAGAGGTCACCATTGTTGGAAGTAAAGGGCAACATAGAGCTGAAGAGACCCCTGGCCAAGGCCGCTTCCCGGCTGCCTCTCTCGGGACGCAGGCTGAAGAGGGGGCCCGACCAGATGGAGGAGGCCTTGGAGCCGGAGAAGGTGAGCTGGGTTTGGAGATCCATGGACATGTGTGTGAAACCATCAGGGACGGAGCTGTGGAGCCCACCCCACCCTTGTCTTTCCCCAGAAAAGAACACGAGGCCTGGGCACCAGAGTGACCACGACCCACCCCAGAGCAGCAGCCCTCAACTCCGCGCCACAGACACAAGGCCAGACCGCAGGTGGGCGCCAGGGCTGGAGAGAGACCGGGTCCACAGTTCAACTCACTTCTGTCTTTGTCTTTTCTTTCGATTGTAGCTGATTCTGAATAGGTAACATGTTTCACTGGTTTCAAAGTTCCGAAGGCACAGAAGTTCTTGTGCAGTGAGACGTCTCCCTCCTGTTTCTGTTCCCCTGTCCCCCAGCCCCCTCCCTAGGGGCAGCTGTGAGTCCTTCCAGGGATGTTCTGTGGGTTTGCAAGCAGATATGGGTGTGCCCCCCAGTGTGTTTCACACGCACTAGCATACTCCACACACTATTTGCCTGCCGTCCCCCCCCACCCCAGCTCTTTTCACTTGTCTTTGTCCAACTTGTTTCTTGGCATGTTGGTCCTAGGGAGGATATCTTTAGGAGCTGGTCAGATTTAGAGGAAGAGGAAGGTTATCTTATTTCTAATCTTCTGAAAAAGCAACTCCTCTGTCTTTGGACCCACTCCCAGCCCGAGTGCGTGCTACCCTGCGAGTCATGACTCTGCTTTTCCTCTCCTCTGTCTCCCAGCAGTGCCCAGAGCTCCCAGGAAGTCAGCACCCCGATATTCCATGGCTGTTGCCCCAGGTAATAATAGTGTCTGAGAGCCAGGGCTGAGAAGGGGTTGGGGGTAAAGGAGGTGGGTAGAGGTGGAGGGACCCTGGTGTTATCGCCCCTGATGCCACCTTTCTGGTTCTCTAGTGCTGAAGACTCAGAAGCCAGGTCCTGTTGTTCCCGCCCAAAAGCCTGGAAGTAGGTGACAAATAAGATCTTGGGTGAGAGGCTGGGATGGGGAGAGGAGGTGGTGAGTGCCCAGAAAAATCCTTTTGGTCCTTTCCCTGCCTGAAAGAGAAGGAGACGGAGCCTCAGGTGTGGAGGCCCTAAGGCTAGGAGGGAGGAGGGAGACAGAGCTAGGGCTGCCCTGACCTTGGTCTTCTCTGTGCCCATCTTAGCGACAGCTGCGCCTCCCATGGTGGGAGGGAAGAAACCCAAACGTCCGGCCTGGGACTTAAAGGGGCAGTTATGTGACCTCAACGCAGAGCTGAAATGCTACCGTGAGAGGAAGCAGGTGCTGGACCAGGAGAACCAACAGCTGCAGGACCAGCTCCGGGAGGCTAAGCAACAGGCCTCAGTCCTGGGGGCAGAGCGCAGGACCCTGGAAGAGGAGTTGACCAGGGTGCGGGCCCAGGCTGAGCAGGGCCAGCGGGAGCTGGGGAACCTGAGTGCCCGCGTCCTGGAGCTGGAAGAGCGGCTGGGCACGCAGGAGGGCTTAGTGCAAGAGCTCCAGCAAGAACAGCTGAGATTACAGGAGGAGCGCAGGGGACTGGCTGCCCAGCTGGGCGAGCAGGAGGTGAGGGCTGGCTTCTCTCTAGGTGGCCCAGAAGTCGCTTTGGGCTTTGAAGTCCTGAGCGCCTCTGTCCGGCAGCACCGTCCCCCACCCTGCTCCCTGCTCACCCCCACTCTGCGCACTTCTGCTCTGTCTTGCTTCCTGCCCCACTTCACCCCATTCTGACTGTTTCCAAAACCCTCCCCTCTGCCATCTGCATCTCCTCTACTTCTCTACCTCCTTTCTTTCTGTCCATCTTCACTGATGGTCACGGATGGACCTTCACTGATAAAGGTCCCCATGCATTCTCTCCCGTCTGTCATCCATTTGGCTCCTTGGTGAGCACCAACTAGAATGAGTTACTTGTAGTCTCTCAAATGACTCGATTCTCAATTCAGAGCATTTGGCACATCCCTCTTTGTGGAATATTCTCTCTGCACCACATCCTTCCCTTGGTTCACTCCTGCGCTTTCGGGTGTCAGCCTAGATATCCTTCCTTGTGCCCTTTCTGGTGCTCCCGTGTGCTCCTTATTCTAATACTATGATTAACATTCACTTATCTCTTCTTTACCAGACTCTGAAGTCCTTGGGGTCAGGGGCCAGCCCACCTCCCACCCCAGTCCCATTATAAAACTTCTTACTCTTGGTTGTATCTCATCGTCCATGTCTGTTCTGGACAGAGGAGGCTGCAGACCTCAGAAGCTTCTCTGTCGGACAGCCAGGCGGAGGTGGCATCTCTGCGCCAGGCGGCTGCAGCCCGGGAGGCCGTACTGGCTGAGCGGGAAGACCGTCTCCACGGGCTGGAGATGGAGCGCCGGCGGTTACACAACCAGCTGCAGGAACTCAAAGGCAACATCCGTGTGTTCTGCCGGGTCCGCCCCGTCCTTCCAGGGGAGTCCACCCCATCCCCTGGCTTCCTTCAGTTTCCCTCTGGCCCCTGTGGACCCTCTGACCCTCCAACCCGCCTCAGCCTCTCCCGGTCTGATGAGCGGCGTGGGACCTTGAGTGGGGCGCCAGCTGCCCCTACCCGCCATGACTTTTCCTTTGACCGGGTGTTCCCACCAGGGAGTGGACAGGATGAAGTGTTTGAGGAGATTTCCATGCTTGTCCAATCAGCGCTGGATGGCTATCCAGTGTGCATCTTTGCTTATGGCCAGACAGGCAGTGGCAAGACCTTCACCATGGAGGGCGGGCCTGGGGGAGACCCCCGGCTGGAGGGGCTGATCCCTCGGGCCCTGCGGCACCTCTTCTCTGTGGCCCAGGAGCTCCGTGGCCAGGGCTGGACCTACAGCTTTGTGGCAAGTTATGTAGAGATCTACAACGAGACTGTCCGAGACCTGCTGGCCACTGGGGCCAGGAAGGGCCAGGGCGGTGAGTGTGAGATTCGCCGGGCCGGGCCAGGCAGCGAGGAGCTTACGGTCACCAACGCGCGCTATGTTCCGGTCTCTTGTGAGAGGGAGGTAAGCGCTGAGGGCCACTAGGCCTGGACGTGGGGTCGGAGGGCTGGGGCGCAGGCAGAGTGATGCAGGACGGAGGTGGGGGAGCGGGCAGGGTGAGGAAGGGCGAGTGGCGACGACAGTTCGGATGTTTGGCTTTGGCTGCTGGGCTGTGAGGTGGAACCAAGGCGTGGAGAGAAGTGACGCGTCTCCTGAGACGGGTGCCCCTGGGCCCCACATGTCAATCTCTGTCTCATCTCTGCTCCCTCTGCTTGTTCAGCTCACGACATCCCTGCTGGCCTCCAGGCTTTTCCTCAGCCTGGTCATCACACCCTTGGACCAGGGCTTTTGTACGTCCTCTGTCCATTGCCTGACATGGTCTTACGTTCCTTTCCCAGCAGGGCTGGATTGCCCCCAACCACCTTAAAGTTTTTAAGGTGTTGAGGCCATCCCTGACCATCTTTTTTTTTTTTTTTTTTAAACTTTTGGCTGCACTGCATGACTTATGGGATCTTAGTTCCCCAACCAGGGATTGAACCTGTGCCCTGGCAGTGAAAGCATCGAGTCCTAACCACTGGACTGTCAGGAAATTACTGCTGGTTATCCTTTCTAAAATCAGAACCCTCACCATCACACACTGCTTTTCTGTTTTTATTCCTTGATAATCTCAGACACTGTATTTTAATTATTTAGACTTTTGCTGGCTAGAAAAAAGCACCAAGAAGGCAGGTGCTGGGTTTTGCTTATTGCCATATCTGACCTGTGGGTTCCCAGGTGGCTCGGTGGGTAAAGAATCTGCCTGCAGTGCAGAAGACATAGACGCGGGTTTGATCCTTGGGTTGGGAAGATCCCCTGGAGGAGAACCCTCACCATCACACACTGCTTTTCTGTTTTTATTCCTTGATAATCTCAGACACTGTATTTTGATTATTTAGACTTTTGCTGGCTAGAAAAAAGCACCAAGAAGGCAGGTGCTGGGTTTTGCTTATTGCCGTATCTGACCTGTGGGTTCCCAGGTGGCTCGATGGGTAAAGAATCTGCCTGCAGTGCAGAAGACATAGACGCGGGTTTGATCCTTGGGTTGGGAAGATCCCCTGGAGGAGGGCACGGCAACCCACTCCAGTGTTCTTGCCTGGAGAATCCCATGGACAGAGGAGCCTGGCGGGCTACAGTCCACAGGTTGCAAAGAGTTGGACTTGACTGAAACGACTGAGCACGCAGGCATGCATGCACGCCTGACCTGGCTATGGGCTGACCACTGCCTGACTTCACCTCTTGCTGCACCCTATCCCCAGGTGGAGGCCCTGCTCCATCTAGCCCGCCAGAACCGCGCTGTGGCCCGCACAGCCCAGAATGAGCGCTCATCGCGTAGTCACAGCGTGTTCCAGCTGCAGATCTCTGGGGAGCACGCTGGCCGAGGCCTGCAGTGTGCGGCCCCCCTCAGCCTGGTGGACTTGGCTGGGAGTGAGCGGCTCGACCCCGGCTTAGCGCTCGGCCCTGGGGAGCGGGAACGCCTTCGGGAAACGCAGGCCATTAACAGCAGCCTGTCCACGCTGGGGCTGGTCATCATGGCCTTGAGCAACAAGGTAGGAATGGGGGTGGGGGCAGGTGGGCCCTGGGAAGCGGCTGGTACTGGCTGTCCCCAGCCCTGTCCTAATCGTCTGTCCCTCTCCACCCTGTAGGAGTCCCACGTGCCTTACCGGAACAGCAAGCTCACCTACCTGCTGCAGAACTCTCTGGGCGGCAGTGCCAAGATGTGAGCAGAAGGGGTGGGCTGGGAGCCACTGTGTCAGGGTCAGGGTGGGGGCAGTGATGTAACTAATTCTGGGGTTTGCCCCCTCTCCTTTGTCCACAGGCTCATGTTTGTGAACATTTCTCCCCTAGAAGAGAACGTCTCTGAGTCCCTCAACTCCCTACGCTTCGCCTCCAAGGTGCGGTCACTAGCAGCCCCATCCCCATCAGGCTTCCTGCTGACTGTAGGCGTCTGCACCCTGGTCCTTCAGGCTAGCGGCACATGCATCCCGAAAGGATGTACATTTGCCAGGCAGTTAACTATTGACTTCTGGGGGTGTTTGAATTAAGTTTTTAAAACTATGTGGTTGAAAGGTCAGAAATATGTAGAAAGCTGTATACAAGTGAGATTTAACCTCTGCCCCGCCCACCACATTCTCTCTCCGGTCCTAGTAGTCGTTGTCATATTTTATCCTTTTACTTCTCTCTGTTTCTTTTTGCAAATACAAGCAATGTGCATGGGATTTCCCTCTTTCTTAGAGAAGACATCTCTTCCCCTCTCTCTCATGTATTATATGTTGTCCTGCCTTTTTTTTTTTAAATTAACAAGACAGCCTTAAGGATGGGGCGGTGGCCAGGGAGAGTGGGGGAAAAAGAAAAAAAATCAGACAGCCCTAGGATGATTCCCCACCAGCACACAGAGATCATCCCATTATTTTTACATTTGCCTAGGACTCCACTGTATGGATGCGCCAAAGTTTATCCACCAGTTCCCTCTACTGGACACTTGGATTCTTTCCACCCTTTTACTATTACAAACAAGGCTATGTTGACTAACCTTGTACACATCATTTTATAATATTTGCTTGGTTACATCTAACTATCCAGAGAGAGATTCTTTGAAATGGGTTTCCTGGATCAAAGACATACAGGTTTTTCAGGCTATTCCAAATAGACAGCGTGAATCCAGACTCCAGTCTCCACAACGGTCAGCTGTGTCCAGGCTATGAATTCTCTAAGAAACTTAAGCTCCCTCTACAAGAGTTAAGTCAGGAAGTTTCTTTACATAGTGCCTTGGAGGGTAATGTATTCCTCTGATAACTCATTTTCCTGAGGATATAGCCTTGAGATGCTTTCTGGCTTTATTCAGGGTCTCAGATTACAGCTGTTCTTCTGCACTCTTGCTGCTGTGGAAGTAATCGGCCACCTTAGCGCCCTGCTGTGGTCTTCTGCTTTAACCAGGATTTCCCTTGCTACCTTACAAGTTCAATTAAAGTTCCCCATGGACTGTAGCCTACTAGGCTCCTCTGTCTGTGGGATTTTCCAGGCAAGAATACTGGAGTGGGTTTCCATTTCCTTCTCCAGGAGATCTTCCCAATTCAGGGATTGTACCCGGGTCTCCCTCATTGTAGGCAGATGCTTTACCGTCTGAGCCACCAGGGACATCAATTAAAGTTCTACCAACATCATTAATACCCAACAATGTGAACTCTTTGACATCCTCTAATACCCAGTTTATGTTAAATTTCCCCTGATTGTCTCAAGTGCCTTTTATACATTAGGGTTTGTTCCATTCAGGATCAAAGCAAGGACCACCCTTTTAATTTAGTTGAAATGGTCTTTTGAGTTTCTTTTAATCTGTAATAATCTCACCCCCACATTGATTTGTTGAAGAAGTGGAGTGATTTGTCCTATAGAACATATCATATTCTAGATTTTGGCGGGTTGCTTCCTCTTTCCTCCATAATTTTTGTTTTCTTGTAATTAGGTTTGGAGGCTTGATTTGAATCAGATTCAAATTTCTTGGCAAGAAAATTTAAATAGTATGATACATTTTATTGCATCATATCAGGAGGCACCTAGTATCGAGTTGTTCCATTTTTTCCCCTCCCCCTAGTTGTACCTTTAATGATATAAAAATTGATCACTGGACTTGGGTATTGTCAGCCCGATCTATCCATTTAAAAACTCCCTTCAACTTTCTCCCCTAATGATTTTGTCAGCGATGCTATCTAGATCTACTTTTTGTTGTTGTTTAGTCACTAAGTCATGTCCAACTCTGTAGTCCACCTGGCTGCTCTGTCCATGGGATTTTCCAGACAAGAATATTGAAGTGGGTTGCCATGTCTTTCTCCAGGGGATCTCCCCGATTCAGTGATTGAACCCACCTCTCCTGCATTGGCAGGCAGTTCTTTGCCACTAAGCCACCATGGAAGCCCCAGATCTATTATTAGGGAGTTTTAAAATGTTGATTTTCTAATTTTCTCAGCTGTTCTACATTTATTAATCATAATTCTTGAGAACTCTCCTTGTCATCTGTTCTGATATTCTGAAATTGGTTATTCTATTCTGGTTATTCTGAAATGCAGTCCATATAGGTAAGATGGGATAAATGCTAGATTCTAAATCAATTTTCACTATTTAAGTTGGTATCTTGGCAACTTCCAAAGATGACCAGTGAGTTTTTATCCAGGAGATAACATCTTACTTGTACTTTTGGTATATATCCTTTGAAGTCATTATTCTTTCTGATATTCAAATTGCCCACCTTTGGCCAGTGGAAGCTCCAACTTGGCTCCTGTGCCCTTTAGACAAGTTCCCAGTAGTCCTTTCTCCGGATTCATCTTGTACATTTCCGGCCCTAGACTGAGGATCATTAATTTTTTAAGGAGCTTTGGTTCTTACGTTTATGTTGCCGTGTTATCTAGCTTATTGAGCATTAGTGGTGGGAGGGCTGTGGGGGTGTCTAGAAAGAGAAGTGCCTCTCTCTGCTCCTGTGAGGGGCTTCTGTCCCTTCTCTGGCCTTTCCTCCTTTTCCACATCTAGTGTGCCCAGTGGGCGTGGGAGAACTGAGACCAGCCTGAACCTGCTTTCAGAGCCTTTATTTCAGGATTCTGAGGGCAGCCCTAATACTGAGGGTTCAGAGGTGATTTGGGGAAAACTTCGTTTGGTTGCTCTGAAAACTTTTTTTATCCTGTTTGTCTAAATCCCCTGCCCGCAGGTGAACCAGTGTGTCATTGGCACTGCCCAGGCCAACAAGAAATGAAGATGGATCTAGATTGTGTGTGTGTGTGTGTGTGTGTGTGAGACACACGGTGGGGGGTGGGGGGTGGAGCTTTATTGGGAGGGGGCGCTGATACCTGGGCCTATCAAATAAAGAAGAGAATTTTTGTTGTTTTTAAATAAAGGTTTTATTAGCGGTTGCCCAATAAGGGGGATATTTGTCATATCCATGAAGATGGGAGCTGTGGCTCTTCTATTCTGCCAAACGTCAGTGTTTCACGGGGACAGGGCTTTGGCTTTTCTAACGGGTCACCCCAGAGTCAGGGTAGCCCCTCTCCCCGCTCCCGTCCCTGTCCACGTCTGGGGGGTGTGCGCACCAGGTGTCCAGTCACTAGTTCCGTTTCCTCCGCCACAGGCCACCCTCGCCCGGGGCAGGAACTCGGTGAGTGCGGGAAGGTGGGAGCCCGAGTCCGGGGCGGGGTCGGCGCGCCCGCCCACAAGCTGCGGGGTCTCTCCTCCCGCTCTTTCTCTGCCTTCCCTTTCGAACCGCCGGGGCTAGCTCCGCCCGCCGCCATTGGCTGGCTCTTGGCGGCGTCACCGCCTCAGTACGAGCTCTCCTAGTCGGTGCACCCGCCTTGCCCGCGTGGGGCGGGGCGCACGGGCTAACTCCCTCGCGCCAACCGCCGAGGGCCGCCGCCCCGTCAGAGGAGGGCTGGGTCTTCCCAGGTGCCGCGCGCGCGGGAGGGGTCCCGCCGCCTCCTCCTGCCGCTGCCGCTGCTTTGGCTGCTGCGTCATACGCCCCAGAGCCGCCGGGACGGAGGGGCTGGGCCTGGGGACCCCCCGGTCTCTGCCTGCACGCCCCCCCGACGCCCAGCCGTGCCCTCCCCGCGCGGGGGTTTCACCTCAGTCTCCCACGTCTGCCTCTGCCCGGCTCCCGGCGGCCCCAGCTGTCACTGGTAAGGAGGCGGCGGGAGGCGCCCGTGGGGGGGCAGGGAGCCGGGGGTCGGCGCGCAGGGCGCGGGCGCGAGAGCCGCGCCGCCCGGGCGGCGGGTCGGGCTGGGCCGACTCAAGTCCCCTCTCTGACTCGCCGTCATGGGGAGAAGAGACCCGGACTGGGACACGCCCCCCTCCCGGGGCACTCAGTGAAGTTATCTAACCCGGGGGCAGGGAGCCCCGAATTTGAGGGTGACCTGACATAACCTAGCACCAAGATGATTGTTCTGAATGAGACACAGAGGCCCAGGAGGCAACCTTTTTCACTCTGGAAAACATCTCCAGAAAAAGCTCCCGAAACACATCTCTGGGACACAGCACCCCAATTATAATACCACTATAAACAGTGGTAGAAGGTGACAGTGGAAACTGAGTGGTAACCTTTGCCTCTGCAACCGTCGTTTCTGCTAAAATCTCAAGGCCAGGATACAACATCCCAGGGGAGCTCTGGAAGCTGGGAAACCAGAGAACTAGGTTGGTGGTTGGGTGGCGGGGACGGCTGGGAGAAGAGAGCCTGTGGTGACTCTTTAGGGAGAGCCAGAGTCAGGAAGGCCTGAAGGGGTGCCCAGTGGGTCTCCTACCCAGGTGTCTCAGGGAAATGGAGGCTGGGCACACCTGCTCAAGGTTTTTGACAGAAAAACAGGCAAAGAAAATGGGGGCTAGTTCCTCAATATTCATAACTTTCTCCTATCGTCTCATTTCTAACTAGGGCCCCCCAGGATGCAATGGCACAGCCCCCCCGGCTGAGCCGCTCTGGTGCCCCCCCACTTTGGGACCCAGCTTCCCCTGCTCCCACCTCAGGCCCTCGGCCTCGACTTTGGGAGGGTCAAGATGTGCTGGCCAGATGGACAGATGGGCTGCTATACTTGGGGACCATCAAAAAGGTGAGACCTCTGACCTGTCACCTTTTCTCATTCCCCTTATCTAGTCTGATTCCTGTTCCATCTTCTGTGCTCACCCATTCCAGGTGGACAGTGCTCGGGAGGTGTGTCTGGTTCAGTTTGAGGATGATTCCCAGTTTCTGGTTCTATGGAAAGACATTAGCCCTGGTGAGAAGCCTGAGAGTGTGGATCCTATGGAAAACAAGCCTGGCATGGGGGACAGAAAGGGGCTGGAGGACAAAGCCCTCTGACGCTCTGTTCTCTCACAGCGGCCCTCCCTGGGGAGGAGCTCCTCTGCTGTGTATGTCGCTCTGAGACTGTGGTCCCTGGGAACCGGCTGGTCAGCTGTGAGAAGTGTCGCCATGGTGGGTGAGAGGGCAGGACACCTGAATGGTCCAGCTTGCCCTGGGTCTGCCAGGGTGCCTCTGACCCTTCCCTCCAGCACTGGTCCTTATACTACCTGTCCTGGTCTGAGTGCCCAAGCCACTGCTCTGGTCAGTCTCCACAAGCCTGTAACCTCACTCCCTTCCAGCACAGGAGAGGCAGCCTTGGGATGGGATGTATGAGCTCTGCGGGCAGAGGGTGTGAGTGAGCAAAAGTCTCTCAGTTGTGTCTGACTTTGCGACGACATGAACCGTACAGTCCATGGAGTTCTCCAGGCCAGGAGGCTGGAGTGGGTAGTCTTTCCCTTTTCCAGGGGGTCTTGCCCAGTCAGGGATCAAACCCAGGTTTCCCACATTGCAGGCGGAATCTTTACTAGCTGAGTCACAAGGGAAGCCCAAGAATACTGGAGTGTGTAGCCTCTCCCTTCTCCAGGGGATCTTCCTGACTCGGGAATCGTACTGGGGTCTCCTGCACTGCAGGTGTTCTTTACCAACTGAGCTATCAGGGAAACCGCGAATGCGGGCAGAGGGTAGTTCCAGTAAAGCCTTTTCTAACCATTTGATCTTAGGCAAGTCCCTAAACTTTTAAGAATCACAGCTGCCTCATCTTTTAAAATAAAGGTAATACGCCCACCCCAGTAGGACCATGGTCAAGAGCAAAATGAGATGGGGGTAAGACTCTTTGTCCCAATACCTAGTGCACACAGGCATACAATGCAATAAGTGGTCTACTGTCAATACTCTCATTATTCAGCTTATCACCAGGACTGCCACGTTCCAAGGGCCCCAGCCCCCGGAGAGGGAGAGGGCGCATCCTGGGTCTGCCGCCAGTGCGTCTTTGCCATCGCCACCAAGGTAAGGGCCCCTCCCTGTAGGCCCTCCCACCCCCAGCCTCTCCTGAGCCCTTCCTTCCCCCACCCCTGAGGCCACCTGTCTGTTCCACCCACAGAGGGGGGGTGCGCTGAAGAAGGGCCCCTACGCCCGGGCCATGCTGGGCATGAAGCTCTCCCTGCCGTATGGACTGAAGGGGTTGGACTGGGACGCTGGGCATCTGAGCAACCGGCAGCAGAGCTACTGTTACTGTGGTGGCCCTGGGGAGTGAGTAGTGAGGGGCGGGGTTAGGGAACAAGTGACGGGGGTGGGAACAAAGGAGAATGGCAGGGTGGCGGGGTGCTGAAGGGGCAGGAGAGTGGTGAGCAGGGTTTGGGGCAGTTAAGGAGGACGTGTCTGGGGGTCACTGGTCCCGTTTCCCTTCAGGTGGAACCTGAAGATGCTGCAGTGCCGGAGCTGCCTGCAGTGGTTCCACGAGGCCTGCACCCAGTGTCTGAGCAAGCCCCTCCTTTACGGGGACAGGTGAGCCTGGGCAGACCCTCCAGGAGCTCTGCCCCCACCCCCCCATCCAAGACCAGGTGTCTTCCTGACCTTGAAACCTTGCTTACTGGTTAGCCCCATCCTTGCTCGGAACACCCCCCCTCCCCCATGGGCAGGTGTAGTTTCCTGTAAAAGGTGTATTCTGTTTCTCTTGCCTATGTCCAGGTTCTATGAGTTTGAGTGCTGTGTGTGTCGGGGGGGCCCTGAGAAGGTCCGGAGGCTACAGCTTCGCTGGTGAGCTGGATATGGGGCATGACCTCAGCACCACTCCTCTCTCCGCACCCCCAGTTTTTCACTTTGCAGGCCCCAGACCCCTACTTGGGGGATACCCCTGCCTGCCCCCAAGCTTTTGTAATGCTTCCACCACCTTGACAAGTCAGTATTTCTCCAGGGTGGATGTGGCGCATCTTGTCCTCTACCACCTCAGTGTTTGCTGTAAGAAAAAATACTTTGATTTTGACCGTGAGATCCTCCCGTTCACCTCTGAGAATTGGGACAGTTTGCTTCTTGGAGAGGTAAGGGGTGGTGAACCTCTGGGGGTCAGGGTGGACCAGGGAGATGTGGGAAAATGGGGGAGGGGATCACTGCTCTCCTGACCCCATTTCCTATCCCCTCCCCCAGCTCTCAGAAACCCCCAAGGGAGAGCGGTCTTCCAAGCTCCTCTCTGCTCTTAACAGCCACAAGGACCGGTGAGTCCCAGGGAGGCTCAGGAGATGGAGACGTGGCTACGCAGCCTGAGAGGGAGGGGCTGCAGCCCATCTGGAAGATCCCCTCGGAAAAGGACTAACAGCATAGGAGGGTCCCTTTTCTCCAGCACTGACCCTGTATCATTTCTCTCCTCATCCCAGTTTCATTTCAGGGAGGGAGATTAAGAAGAGGAAATGCTTGTTTGGTCTCCATGCTCGGATCCCTCCCCCTGTGGAGCCCCCTCCTGGAGACGGAGCCCCCACCAGGTCACTGGTCCAGGGGGGATGGGGAAGTTTTCAGGGTGTATGTATGGAAACAGGGAGGTCTTTGGGGTGTCCGGGAGGGGGCTGGGGGGATAAGGAGGCCTCTTACAGCTTCCCTTCAGGGCAGGGCCCTGGGGGAGGGGTCTCACGTCCCCTGGGGAAGCGCCGGAGGCCGGAGCCAGAGCCCCTGAGGAGGAGGCAGAAGGGGAAAATGGAGGAGCTGGGGCCACCCTCAGCAGTGCGCAACCAGCCCGAGCCCCAGGAGCAGAGGGAGCGGGCTCGTCTGCAGAGGGCACTGCAGGTACAGGGGCAGGGGCAGCCGTGGGCACATGGTGGTGTGGGAAGGAGTCAAGGACGCGCTCTCAGTCCTCTGCTCCTTCTAGGCCTCAGCATCTCCACCACCCTCCAGCCCTAACCAGAGCTACCAGGGCAGCAGCGGCTACAACTTCCGGCCCACAGATGCCCGCTGCCTGCCCAGGTCAGTGCGCTGCCTCCCTCCAACCAGACACACTCCCTCGGAGCCTCTCTTCGAATTGCTTGCAATCTTCTGGATTTCCTCAGCCAAAATTCTTTTCCCTCTCCCCTTTGGCTGCCCACTTCTTTACCTAGAGACTTTGAGAACCAGTGTCTGCTCCCCAGTATATAGGGATGGGTTCCTTGAGGATAGTGTTTGCACTCTGCCCTTCGCAGGGGTAGAGGGTCCTATTCCCCTGCTTTGGGTCCTGACTTTCTTCCTTTCCAACTCCAGCAGTCCCATCCGGATGTTCGCTTCCTTCCACCCTTCTGCCAGCACCGCAGGGACCTCTGGGGATGGTGAACCCCCAGACAGGTGAGATTCTATTCCTTTACCTGTGATACCTCTGTACTCTTAATTTCCTTGGTCTCGTACACCTTTTTGTTGTTGTTGTTCCTCTGATCCCCACACAGTGTCCATTTCTGGTCAGTCTTTATCTCCATCTGGACTGACAGTTGCTTTCTCTTCCTAGGTCACCCCTGGAACTTCACATTGGTTTCCCCACAGACCTCCCTAAAAGTGCCCCCCACTCGATGACTGCCTCATCTTCCTCAGTCCCAGCCCCCTCCCCAGGTGTTCCCAGACGCTCAGCAACCCCTTCTCCCCTGTGCCGTAGTTTGTCTCCTGGGGCCGGGGGTGGAGTCCGAGGTGGGGTCGGCTACCTGTCCCGCGGGGACCCCGTCCGGGTCCTTGCTCGAAGAGTGCGGCCTGATGGCTCTGTGCAGTACCTGGTTGAGTGGGGAGGTGGGGGCATCTTCTGAACAGCCTGCCTCTGCCCGACTGCCCACTGACACACACCGGCACTTTCATACCCTGACCTCTGACCTCACCTACAGCTGGGATGTACCTGGGGCACTAGGGGGGTACTTCCCTCCACTGTCCAGGCTGGAATCCAGGTTGGGGGTTGGGGAAGAGGCTCGCTCTCCTCTACTCCCTTCACGGTTCCTGACCCTTCCCCCCAACCATTCCCTCATTTCCTTTGATGTTATTTTGTTACAGCTTTTTAAATATTTTTTAAAATTATTTAACCCCTGGGGACGGAGACTGAGGAAGGGAGGAGAACAGATCCTGGGCTCTGTATCATTGAAATAAAGATAAATAAACAAACTTAGCAGCCCCGAGTCATTCTAAAAAATGAGAAGAAAGGGACTAGAAGCACTTCCGATCTTTCCAACCAAATTCACGTTTTGACAAGGAAAAAGGGAAATGGAAGAGAGAACTAAAAATGGGATTTATTAAGAGTCCAGTCATCACAAGGTAGGAGCGTTGACATTTATGAGGGAAACCCTGGCAGAAACGAAGGTTCATCCCAGTGGCGCTGCGCTGGAGTCAGAAACCGACTCTGTAACCTGGCGCACCCACTGCAGGTACGGAGAGTTCCCCTGCTCCACAGGCAATGCAATCACCTCGGCCACTTCATAAGGGTGCACAGACCTGTGGGAACGATAGGGGATCAAAGACTTACCCAAAGGAGTCCATCCCCTCAGACTGCCCAGGAAGGCTCACCCCACAGGATACACTCTCACCTCTACCCATGTCAAAGTTCTCACCGAACAAAATCTGTCAGAGCTGGAACCAAGGAACTTTGGGTTTTGATCATCTGAGGGGTGAAGACAAACATGGCTGAATCGGGGGGTGAAGTTGATTTCAGGATCTCGGATGAGGGATAGGGGTCAAAGTAAATGGTCAGGGAATTAAGTTTTTGTCGGGTAGGAAACATTTCTCACCATCAGCACTTCACTGTCCTCTTCAATCTTTCCTTTCCACTCATAGCTGAAAAGGTTAGGGAGAGAGTGTTGTGTGAGCAAAGATTTCCCTCAAGGTAAAAGACTGCCAGTCAGCCCTTTGAGTTAGGTTAACCCCCCAACCCCTAATTAACTCACATGGATGTAATCTGAGGGACGAGGTTGACGCAGGCTGCTAGGCGCTTCTCCACCACAGCCCTGAAGGTGAAGAGAGCACCGTTTAAAGGCCCCATGACCCGGATTTTTGCACTGGCAGCCCAGAGACAGTCAGGAAGCAGCGGGAGGTGCTCCCCCAACTCTCCCTTCATAAGCACCTTTCCTCACTTCACACTGAAGTCCCCACCTGGCGATCTCCTTGGCGACCTTCTCGTTGGGGCAGGTGACAAAGGCCGCAGAGACCGAGCCGGGGACATAGGCGGAGCCCGAGGCCGACGAGGGCTGGGCCGGGGGACTTCCTGAAGCCATGGACAGCAGGGCTCGGGGTAACAACAGAAGGCGGGAGGCTACAGGCAGCAGAGTCGGCATCCAAAGAAGCGACAGGAGCAGAGCGGCCTGAGAACAGGAGGTGAATTCGGTGTCTCATAAATACCCCAAGAAATTGCACCCCGGGAACACTTCGCTTGGAGAGACACTCAGGCCCTCCCTCTTTTGCATCACGAAGGAAAACATTCCTGAAACCAAGAGAAGCTTGTAAAATTTAAGGCAAAGACTCGGTTTTCACTCTCTCCTCGGAAGCCAACCTCTGGGTTTTGGGGTACGGGTCATGGGCGAAGCTTCGAGGACCGGAAGGGGCGGGGCCGGTCACTCACCCCTCCGCCGAGCAGGAATGCGGGAGCCCGACCCCGCCTCATGCAGCCTATTTTGGTAGAGGAGGGTTCAATATCAGAGACCACACGTTACGCGGAGAAAGAACCCCATAGCCAGGCAGAGCGACCTCTTACCTGGGCAGCAGCCACGTGATAAGAAAACAGCGCAGACCACGTGACAGTAGAAGCCGTACTACCCTAACCTCCAGAGCTGGCCAATCCTTGCCCCCACGTGGCCCGATTTGTCCCGCCTCCCAGGGGGAGGGGCGAAGAAGGATCCAACCAATCAACACCCGGATCTGCAGACGTGCACGGAAATGGAGCGCCCGTTTCCGTGTAAACCGGAAACGGCCAATTGCTGGCTGAGGAGAGCCGCAGCGGCGGTCCACTGTCACGTGAGGGGGCGGGTCTCCTCAGGCAGTGGTACCTCAATGAACTACGCGAAGAGACCAATCGTGGGGCAGCCCCGCAGGCCACATGATGAGAGCCCAGGCTCTGGGAAAGGGGGGGCTGGAGACCCCGCAGAGTCGATGCGTCAGGTTGTGGAGTGGGGGCTCATCCTTAAACCCCGGAATGTGCCTAGTAGCAGCCCCTATACTGTTCCTGAGGCCTTAAGGAGTGACAGGGTCTTAGGAGATTGAACCTCCGGGGGTGGGGGGGAGGTGAAGAGAGCGCCCCCTGCCATTTTGGTTAGGACTGACTGGTTCTTGAGTTGGGGAATGCACAAGAATAATCTGAGAAACCAACTGTCTCTGGTTATAGGGGGAAGCGACTAGGCAGGCAGGGCATGGCAAGACCACGGCTAGGTGAAAAGATGTATTTTAAAAGAACGGAGTAAGACCCTGTAAGTGGGATAGACAGTGATTAAAATGGGGCGCCTCAGGCTTAACTGAAGCCTCAAAACTGCAGGCAGACTTGTGAATCGATAGAGGTGGTGGGGGAGAGGAGGGCCTCAGGTTGGGGGTATGAAGAAGACACCAGGAAGTAGTGATGGACCTTTTGTCCCTTACCCTCTTCCTGTTTCACTCTCTGGGTCAGGTCTACCTCTCAGCCTTGGGTCTCCTTCCCTTAACCCATCCCCCTAGGAGCCAGGACCTGCCCTACATAACTTCCCTGGGGCCCAAGCACATCCTGTGACCCAAAAATGGAGGGGCCAATGAGAGGAGAAATAGGTGGGAGGAGGCAGGGAGAAAAAGGCTCTGCCACTTTCCCTACCCAGTATTCCCCCTCCTTCCTGGGTCTGGGGTCTCTGGTCTGCTGGGTGGGTATAACTGGGCGTTTCCCAGTTATTCTCTCATACCTACCACTCTGGGGTTGGAGGTCTCCCTGAGATCTCTGCCTTTGGAGTTTGTCTCTGAGGGATCTTTATGGTGTCTTTTGGTATTTGTATCTTTTTTAGGACTGAGTGTCTATGTTTTTTGTTTGCGGGAATGGCGGAGGTTTCTGGGTCTGCAGTCACCCTCTCTGAGGTATTAAAAATTCTTTTTTTATGTATTTGGGATCTCTGAGTTCATCTCTGGGCTAGCAGGGTGTTGTCTTCTGCCCCTCACCCCCCCAACCAAGGTCTGGAGTTCCTTTGTCTTTGAGTTATCAGCCTCTGAGTCTGCAGTTTCTTTTCTCTGAGATCTAAGTCTGGGGTCTCTGATATCTCTCAGTGGGTCTGAGTTCTCAAAGACCTAATTTCAGGTCTGGATTCTTTATGAGTCTGGTCTCATCTTTTCCTTTGAGTCTAGGTCTTAGATCTCAGTCCCTGAAATTAGTTTAAGTCTGGTGTCTTAAGATTTCTGTGGCTATGAAGAACCTTTTTGAGACTGAATGCTCAGATTTTGACCTTTGACCCATCTTGGGAGGGTGGTCTGGGGTCTGTTTTCTGAGATTGCGGCCTCTTTTCCTCTAGACTTAGGATTTGCGCCTCAGATTATCCCCTGCGCCACCCCCCCACCCCCCCGCCCACCTCCGGGTGGCAAGGTATCTTTGTGGGTCTGGAGCCTCCCGATATCAGGGTCTGGGGTCTGCATCTTTAGAACCGCTCTCTCTTTCTGGAGTCTCTTTCTCTCTTTTTTGAGTCGGGGTCTCTCCCTTCCTGGTTCTCACTGAGTAGGGGTGGGGGCTGCAGGGACTCTCTCTCCTCCTCCTCCTGCTCTCCTCTCGCTCGCTCCCCCGCCCCCCTCTCTCTCTCTCTCTCTCTCTCTCTCTCTCCCGGCTGCCGCTGCTGCCGTTGGCTCCTCTTCTCCTCCTCCTCCTCTCTCTCCTCCTCTCTGCCTCTCTCCGCTCCTCTCTCCTCCTCTCTCCTCCTCCTCCTCCACCTCCTCCTCCTTCTCTGGGGTGGGGGGGGCTGGGCAGAGCTGGGGCCAGGGAGGGGAGAAGCTGAAATGGAAGGAGAGAGGAAGGCAGGGATGGGAGCAATGGGGAAGGAGGTACTGGAGGATAGGTGTAAATAAGGACCGGAGGGGCCAAGAAACAGGCCTTGAAGGGGGCTGAGGGGAAAACGATGAAGGGGAAAGAGATCGCCAGAGAAGGTGGGAAGATAGAAGGGTAGGATTGGGGGAAGAGCTGCAGAAATAATTTGGAGGTGGGAGCTGAGAGATGAGGAAAATATCAAGAAAATATAAGGACAGAGTCTTAGGAGAGGGGCTAGGAGGGGAAAATGAAGAAAATTAAAACATAGGGGTGAAAAAAGCAGCCAAGAAGATGGGGGGTAGGATCTGGTGGGGTCTCAGAGTATGGTAGGGGTTAGAAAAAGACAGGAGATGGAAGAAGAGGAGAAGGGGCCAGATGGAGAGAGAGGGAGGCAGTGGTGGTGGGGGGGGAGGAATGAAGGGTCCAGATGGAGGGAAGAGAGGAGAGAGGATGGGGAATGGGTTTGGGGGAGGAGGGACCAGGGCAGGGGGAGGGCCAAATTAGGTATGTGTTTATTGGGGGGGAGGGGGGCAATACAAGTAAAACTGAGTGCTGGGAGTAAGGGGCAGATGAAGACCCTGCCCCAGACTCAGGCCCTCATTAAGGCCCTTGAGCATTGAAACGTAATCCCTGGGGTCTTATCCACTTCCTTCACTTCACCACTTTCACCCCCTCCCCCACCTCCAGTCCTTATTTCCATTCCCCCTCCCTCCTCTGGTGTCCATCACCTATATCTTTCCCCACATACGGTGTCCGTTCCTTATATGCGTCCCCCTTCTGTCCTTCCCCCTCTATCAGTCCCTTCTCTGGTGTCCCTTCTCTCTCTCCCTCTCTTCTGCCTGGTAGTCCTTTATATCTCTACCACCTCTTCACCCCCTCCTTCTTAACCCCCTTGTCCTAATGTCCCTGTTCTGTCCCCTTCATTTCCTTTGGGCCCTTCTGGTGTATTCCCTTGTCCCTAAAGATTTACCATCATCTCTGACTCTTACTCTCTTAGGTCCATTTCTGTTATTTCTTCTCCACCCCATCCCTTCTTCCCCACCCCATTCCCTATCTTATCACCACAAGTCTGTGCCTACTTACTTTCCACTAAGACCCCATCTCTTATCACCCATTCCTCTTCTCTTGTCTCCTCTCCTTCCTGGGCTGTTGGAGATTTGGGGAGCAAAGACACCAGTTTTGACGGTTGGAACAGGACCTACAAGAGATCCCCATCTGAGCCCCATGGAATTGTTTATCCTAGTAAATCTTTCCCCTTTCTTAACTGTGTCCCTTTGTCTCTTGCATCTGCCTCCCAGAATCATCCTAAGTCCAGGCAATGTTTGTGTATGTGTGTTATTTCCAGAGTTGCTCCTAAGTGAAGTTCCCCGTGTCCTTCCCCACTCCCAGGAGGAGGGTGTCCCCTGAAGTATAACTGTCCTCCCTGTGGTTGCTGTCTGACCCAGTCCCTCCTATAATGATGATGTGAATCAACAGATGTCCCCTCTGGGAGTCCTCAGGGTCTGACTGCAGTGGGCATGTTTCCTGCAGTATCTGCAGTCTCAGAGCCTAGGTTTTGGTGATCTCTTTATCTTTGGTGTCTCTGAGGTGGCACTGACACAGAGTTTCAAGAGTATTGGGGTTTTTAGATACCTGTGTTCAAGGAGTTCACCTCTGTCTCTGACCTGCAGATTGGGTAAATTTGAACCATGTTTACAGACAGAAAGGGGCTAGATTTTTTAACACTCTGCTACTCATAGCTTTTAGCTGGAATGAAGTTCACTGGCCAGTTCTTTTCCTGCAATATTCCCATGATTAATTATACTGGAAAGGTAACGGGATTTGATCTTTTTTCCTCTAAACTCTCTGTCACCCTCATTCCTTAAGCTTATTTTCTATCACGTTGATGTCATCAATTTTATTTCTCTCTGACTTCTATAGGGCTTGCCCACTATGTCCCTGTGATGGTGTGTAGCATTGGGGTTTAAAGGAGAGGCACTTTGCATGCACATGGGTGTGGAAGAACAGCAAAGTCAGGGGAGGGGTGACCCTTAGTCTACTACTATTGGAAGTTTTGTCCCCATCCCCAGCCTCTATGTCACAGGCTTGGATCTTTCATTCTTCCCTCCCCTCTTCCTTCCTCAGGCTTCACACGGTGCCTTGGGGAGGTTCTTACTTGAGGAGTTGGCGTCCATCCTGTCCATGGAGACTGGGGACGGGGGGTAGGGGGACAGTATTGAATCTTTGATCTCTGGGCATGGAGTAGGGGAAGAGATCAACTCAGTATTCATGCAAACAAGGGCATATTTCCTGCCTGCTCAGTCCCCAACCCCTCCACAGCCAGATACCAACAAGACCCATCCTTCCTCTACCACCAGCAGAACCAGCTCTTTCCCTGAAGGATAAGCAGGGTTAGGCTGGGGAGGAGGGAGTGAAGGAAAGAGGAAAGGCAGGAGAGGAGGCCCTCATGGGATTCTGACCCTGGGAACAAGTAAGCTCCTCACTCCCTCTCTTTTCTAGATATTTAGCTTTTAGTCTCATGACCCAAATGTTTCTATACCCCCATCCTTCTTCCCACAGCTCTGTAGGCTTCCTTACTTTCTTGCAGATGGGTGGGGTCACCTTCCAAATCCTTGTCTTCTGCAGCTATCTGGTTGCCCTCCCTCTTCCCAGACACTTGCCACCAACCTCCCTGTATTTTTCTTCTGCCAGTTTTGTTGGACCCTCAGCCTTTTGATTTTTCAGAAGTGGATGGAGAGCTCCTTCCCTTCTCTGCCTCCAAACTTGTATTCTCTCTGTCAGGATATCATTCCCCTCTGAACCACTCCTCTGTATTTCTTCTGCCAAGTCTACTGAGCCCCTCAGCTCCCACCGCCCCAGCCAGAGAAGCTTATCTTCTGTTCCTCTAAAGTTTCCAGGGGCCTCACCCCCTTCTATGATCTCAAGGTGGGTGGGGGTCCCTTGTCCCTCTTTATGGATTCTTCTTCTATCCCCTGAATGCATAGAGCTTCCCTTACAGTTTCTGTGTATCTCTGCCCCCTAGATGTACGGGGACCCCCTATGCACCGAACCCAATACGTTCACTCCCCGTATGATCGTCCTGGTTGGAACCCTCGGTTCTGCATCATCTCGGGGAACCAGCTTCTCATGCTGGATGAGGACGAGGTGAGCAGGGTGGGAAGGCTGGGAAGAGACCTCTGGGTAGCATGGGAAAATGTGAGAGAAGGATGGGAGAATCCTCATTTGCAAAGGGATGCGAGGCACAGAGATGGCAAAGGGAAAGACACTGGCAAGTGGTGGGAGGAGGGTGGCCTTGAGACTTGGGTTGAGATGTCAGAAGGGGCAGGGGTTCTCTCCCTTTGGCCCGAGGGGTCTTTGAGGGCCATGTGCAGTGATGGGGAGGAGTCGTGGTTCTAAAGATTTGGGGGTGCCTTCTGTTTTCACCCTGTTCCTATTTTGGGATAGGTTAGGCTAGGAAAGGGAAACAAAAGGGTTTGGAGGAGGGTGAAGACACAGGGATCACTTTGGAGGGAACATCTCCCTCTCCTCTCGCCATACTGAGCAAGCCTCATCACTGACCACTCCCCATCCTTTCCCTGGCATGGGGCAGAGTGCATGGACTCAGAGTGGGGTCTCTGAGGGAACTAGGAAGGGGCTGCAGGGTACAAGGAGAGATAATAGACAGCAGTAGGTCTGGGCCTGGATGGTGGTGAAGACAGGGAAGCCTGAGATCAGGGTTTAGAGAGATGCTGAGAGGGCTTTCGCCAGGGACACAGGGAAGGAATATGAGGGAAGAGACGCCTAGGGGGGTGAGGGGAACTGGGAATATGGGAAGTTGTCTAAAGGAGTCAGAGTGGGATAGAGGCAAGGAACAGCCGAAGTGGAAGATGTGAAATGAACCGAGCATCCTCGTGGGGGGAGGCAGCCGTGCAGTGTGATTAGAGAGCCAGGGGTTGTGGGCTCTGATCCTGGAGCCGGGTCAGCAGTAGAGCATCCATCAGAGGAAACAGAAGATGTGACTATGAAGAAAGGATCCCCAGAGGTGTGGTTCAGGTGGTGGGGGGTGATTTAGGTAAGCTTTAGAGAGTGATAGGATAACCTGCAAGACCAGAGAGGTGGTAAGAGGTATGTCCCAAAAACTGTCAGGAAGGGTGTAGTGAGGCAGGGTTAGAGCTGGAGTTGAGGTTAACCAGAGTTTCGAGGAATCTGGGGGGCAAGTGAGTGTGGAGATGCCTGGGTAGAGAGCTTCCCAGGCACAGAGTCAAGTTGAAGCTTTGTCCAGGGAGGACATGGTGACTCAAGGGAAAGGTGGTTTGGGGAGTTCAAGTGTTAGGCACTGGGGGCCAATATGAATGGTCATTAGTCGTGGCCAAGCATTTGGGGTCTGTAGGATGAATGGGGGAAACTAGAGACTGAGTGAGAATGAAGAGGTTGGACAGTGGGTGGGAGAATGAAGGAATGAAAGAGATGGGGACAGACAGGTCCAGAGGACTGGTGGCTAGAAACTGAGGTCGGAAGGGTGTGGAGGGGGTCCTGGAATGGCAGAGTGCAGGGCCACAGGGAACTGGAATTGGCTGGGCTGTGGAGCCCAGGCTGGGACTAGTGGGGTGGGTGGTTCTTGAAGGGGTGGAGATTGGCGGGGTGGAGATGGGAAGGTTAGGAAGGAGGTGGCCAGGGAGAATTGGGGATGAGACTTAGGGAGAGGTAATGGCTAAAGGGAGGTGAGCCAGGCTGAAGGGGGGTCCATGAAAGGTGCGGGGGAAGGTGACCAGGCCCTCTAGGGGGTGGGGAGGTTGGGTCCCATTCTGGCCGCAAGCCTGGCCGTGGGAGGGAGACAAGCTGTGGATCCTGATTATAAATGCAGCTTCTGCTACCCCCGTGACAGCCACGGAGGGAGGGAAGGGGGTGAGGGCGGTGGGAGGCTGGGAGGAAAACAGGGAGAAGGGAGGAACTGAAGGTCAAGGGGAAAGTGGATTTGGGGAGCAGCAGAGACCAGAGTGGTTCCGGGGGTTCCCTGGAGGGTGTTTCAGAAGACATGGTGGAAGAAAGGAGGGTGGGACGGGAGGGGATGAGGGAGCAGACTCGGAGAGAGAAGGCAATGAGAAATCCACTCACCCCGAGACACTTAAAAAGAGTACGGAGGGGCAGGGGCAGGTGGTCAGGCTGGTGGGAAGGGAGGCTCATCCTCCTCGGGTGGGGAAGAGAAAGAAGAGGGACGGCCTGGGCCCGCGAGGTCTGACGTCTAGATACACCCCCTTCTGATCCGGGACCGGAGGAGCGAGTCCAGTCGCAACAAACTGCTGAGACGCACGGTCTCCGTGCCGGTGGAGGGGCGGCCCCACGGCGAGCATGGTACGGCGGCCGAGCAGGCTCTCGTGCCCCAGACAGGCGCGGGGAGGGGGCTGCGGGGGCCTGGGTGCAGGGGAGGGGGCGTCCGGGGCCGGGAGGGGGCGGAGACGAAGTCTCGCACCGAGTGGGAGCCCGGGCGGAGCCGGCCCCCTCCTCTGGGGTCTGAGCGGGACGCAGGCTTTGGGTGAGAGGCCTCAGCGGTCCTCGCTGTTTCGCTCTCTTTTTCCTCTCCAGCAGCGAAGTTTGACTGTTTCCCCGGTGCTTGTAAAAATAGTCTCCTTAGATCTTTCGCTTCCTGTCCGAGTGTGGCTGCCCCTGCCCCTCCCCGGCCTGGGTCTGGGATCTTGGAGAGAATGACCTAGTTCCCGCCCTGCCCCCAGACCTCTGCCCCACCCCCCACTCTCCTGATTCTTTTCCCAGACCTTCTGGCCTGTGGACCCTCCCTCTTGCCCCCTTTTCCTTTTCTCATCAGCTGTTTTTATTTTCTGCAATTCTGTCACCCTCTTCCGCTTTCCTCCCCGATATCTCTTATTTTCTCTATCGCTCTTGGGTCGTCTGCCTCTCCCCTCTGCGGGGAACTCCGTCAGACCCCCATCTCATCTCCTTTCTGTCTGTCTGTAGAGCTATGTGCTCAGTCTGTCTCTCCAACTCTCCCTCTCTCCATCTGTCTCTTCCCCTCCCTCCCTCTTTCTGCCCCCCCTCCACCCCCCTCTTTAGTCATTTAAAAAAAGATTTTTGTCTTCCTGAGAAGTTCGCTTAAAAGGTTTCCATGGGAACAGTGAGGGGAGATGAAGGCAGAGAACCGAGATCTGCAGCCAAGGTGCAGAGAGACACCCTCAGCCCCCAGAAACCCCCTTGTCACTGCCCCCTACACTGTGTCCCCCTTCCAGGACCAAGGGTCCAGGTCCTTCATCCCCTCAACCCCTGGTGACCCCTTTATTCTACCCACAGCCCCCCCCCCCCCCCCCCCAGGGATCCAGGCTTCCAGTCTCTCTCCCTTAGAGCCACTGGCCTGTCTCCAGCCCTTGGCTCCCTTCAGCCCTCTCTGATAGGCTCAAGCCTTACTGCTCTTGGGGGCCAACTCTGGGACCCTGGGTGGGTCGCTGGCCAGGGGTGTGTGTCATTGTCATGGAAACTTCTGACCATGGGGGCGTGTGGGTAGCACATTTCTGTGAGGCAAAGCCAGGTGGAGCTGCTGGTGGTGGTGGAATGTGTATAGAGAATGTGTGTGATGTCTGTCACATCTGTGTGTGTGTGAGAGTCAGTCATGTCCATGCCTGGGAAAGGTTTGTGTCCATGTGTGCATACCTGTGTGTCCAGGCTGGAATGGTCACATGCTCATGGGGCATGTTTATTATATATCTGGTGGTGGGCGTTTCTGCCCACATATTCCCCTTCTATCTTCTTACTGTTACTCCTCAGGGTCTGGGGTCTCTCGTGTGGGTCTCCTGTGTGTTAGGGAGGAGGACACTAATGTATGTTTGGAATTGGGGATGGTGTGTGGAGGTGTTTGTGTCGGAAGTTCAGTCGGGGCTGGGAGGGGGTCCAGGGGTATATATATTTGGGGGGAGTGTTTAGTGAAAGAGTTGATGGCTGGTGAACGTTTGGGGTTCTCAGAGGGACGTGGAATGTGTAAAGGGAGTGGAGAATGTGCAAGGAACCTAGAAGTTTAGGGACCCTTGGGGGCCTGGGTCCGAGAAGGTCTGTGCAGAGGCTGTGGACTCTCGAGCCCAGGAGAGGTCGCCGGACCTTCAAGGGGCATCGGCATTCAGGGCTCCTCCTCTCCTGGGTGGAGCCGCCGCCCCTCATTCCCTCCATGGTTTCGTTGGGGGGTCCAGCTCAGGAGGGAATGGTGGGAGGCCCGGTTGGTTTGGGGGGTCCCTTCGCCCCCCTCCCGCATCTCTCTCGCGCTGTCTCCGGGCGACGGGGCTCGTGACAGAGGCGGCCACGGCAGCAGCTGCCGCGGTGGCGGCGGCGGCGGCGGCAGCTGCTCCCTCCGCATGTTCTCGCTGCATCTTCCGAGTGGGGGGAGTTATGGTAACTGGCGGGGGGACAGCGGAGGTGGGGGGTCGGAGACTGGCCTCGTGGGGCCAGTCTCCGGAGCGCGCGGGGGCGGCCGGTGTAGGGTGGTCTTGGAGCCCCTCGGTGGAGGCGGCAGCCCTAGTGTCCGCGTGTGGTCGGTGTCCAGGCTTGTGTCCCCTGTGTTAGTGCCATGTGCACACGGGGGCCCGTTCCTCGCGTACACATGTACAGCCAGCCTTTTGCAGCCTGTCCTGCCCTCGCCTGCCTCGGCTTGCTTCCTACCTAGGGCTCTGCTAGGCTGGCCGCGGCTTGGGGGCAGCTCTTGGCCGTACCGGTCCCTGTCACCTCTGACCCTGAGAATGCACGTCCCTGGCTGGGGCTCATCTTCTGTCAGCCTCCTGTGTGTGGGGATGTGTGGCTGCATGAGAAAGATTTCTGTGTCCCTGGTGGCAGGTGTGTGTCTTTGCATGTGTGTTCCATCCCTGGCCTGGGTATCTGTGTCAGTCCCAGCATGAGTGTCCAGGGCGTGTCTGGATGTGGGTGGTATGCAAGTGGGGGGAGAGAGTAAGTGTGTGGAGTGTGTTCTTTGGAATCCTACCGTGTATGAAACACCTTTGGGCTAGCAGGTGTGAGCCCCTGCTCTGTTAGGGAGTGGGGACAGGAAAGCTAGCTGAAAAGGGAAAGAGTGGGGTAAAGAGGAAAAGCAGGGAGTTGAGGGAGAGGAGGACTGAGTGAGGCTTGGTGAGGGGAGAGGCAGGAGAGGGAATGGCTGAAGAGGGCTTGGGCAGGTGGGACTTCGTGGAGTCAGGTTGAGAAGAGAGAGGAGGTGGGGAACTGGCTGGAGCTGATGGAGAAGGGGCCTGGAAGTGGGGAGGCAGCGCAGGGGCAAGAGAGAGTCAGGCCTTCTGTGAAGTGATCACTGAGAGGAGAGCGGCAGCCGGGCTTGTGGCTTGTGTAGGCCGTGTAGTGTAGGATCAGGCTTGGCTGGCTCAGGAGAGGCCATCCTAGAGGCCGGCTCCCAGTGAGGCCTGGCGCAGCAGGACCTGCTGATAGAAGTGCCCATTCCCAGCCCAGAGTTTTGCCCCCCCCCC